GGTTACAGTGAAAGTTTTACAAACTTTAATGCTTTAGCTTAGAAAAAGTGATTGTTAGTGTAAATAATTCTAAAATAGATTTAAAAAGATTGATCTTACAAACTAATTAACTTACTAGACCAATTACCGAAAGAGCATAAGTTTTTCCATAGGTCATATAACGAAGAGGTCTAAAAACAGCCAATATTCTATCGACAGATAATGCGGTAAGCATAAAAGCTGTACCAAAATCTGATATCCTCCACAGGTAAGACCAAGGTAAGAATACCATACATTGTAACGCAGAAAACTGCTCATCTTGAAAGCCTAGTAACCTAACAATTGTACGATATATACCCGCTGTCATTGTTGACCAACCTTCAAATACCAAGTCATTAGTTGTTCGCGTAGTCTTTTAGATTTGCTTTTAAAATTAGAAAAACTTTTTACTTTTTTGTCTTGCTTCTTTTCTGTTTTCTTTTAATTCTTTTAATAACTACTCGTTCTAATCAGTTACATGTAAAAAAAAAAAGAAAAAAATGTTTTTTCAGTTTAGAAAACACCTTCAATATAATCCATAACGGCAAGCGAACATATCAACTGAAAAACAGGTTTTCCTCTGAGCGATGAATGAGTTAGAACGGCAGAAATAATTACTGTATTGGTCAAAACAGATCCAATTCCACATAAAGCATATAATAAGTGCTTAAAAAAATAAAATGTTTATATAATATTGCTATATGACGATATTTTAATGAGAAATTTTGCACCTTCTTTTATCAAACACTTAAAAATACTTCAATATATAAAGAGAGGAGAGACATAAGAGTCGGTTTAGAGAAAACCGAAAGATAAAATACATACAATGATGGTTAAAATTAGTTGTGTAGCATATAAGAAAACAAAAGAAAGAACTTTCTTATAGATTTTGTTTGTAGTTCTTGCGAGTCAAAGCAAAAAGTAATGTACAAGTTTTAGTTTCAAATATTCTTCATTCTAATCTTCTGTGCAAGTACAGTATAGGCAAGTTTGACTTGTTCAGTTCTGATATCTATTCGGTATTTTATCAACCGGCAACGTACAATCAGTAAACTAATTGTAATAAAGTTTTTTAATCTAATTTTTTAATTAATATCTAACAGTTCGTTATTGAATCGACTGTTATACTGTGTAGTTTGATAAGTTAGATTAAGCACAGGAATAACAAGTAGACCAGTGGGAGAGAGAAGAAGAAATAAACAAGTTTGAAGTGTCAATTGATACAGTTTGAAGATTCATTTTCTGTTCTGTAGTATTTCATATCACATCTCGACGTCCAAATTTTGGTGGCTGTGATTGCAGTGATTAAAAACATAGAGATAATAATTAAAAGAATTGATTTGAATCTGCAAAAAGAGTTGCTATTATTTGATTATAGAATTGGTTTGAGCAAGTTTGACTTTTTCAATTCTGATATCCATAAATTGCAATAAACTTTTTAATCTATTAATTTTTCTGTTGTCATACATATAATCGTTCGTAATTAGCAGTGTTTACGTGAATTTACAATTGTCCAAACTATGTACAGTTTAGAATACCTCAACTGCTACTTAACTCTCAGAAAGAAAAAAAAAACTAGTGCACTAATTTTGAAAATACAGTTTAACAGTTTGATTACGTATTGCATTATCCAGTTCTGGT